TTACCACACTTTATATAACTGTCTGCACGGTTATTACGTATAAGTTAGGATAATACCTGTTGAAGTCAGTAATTATTATTATCTGTAATCTATACCTACGATGATATTATATTAAGTCTCAAAAAAAGAAATAATTTACATGTCATGGGATAGCTTGATACACATCTAGGATCCTAAGAGTGAAAGCACAGTCTTTTCTGAGGTAGTTAAGCATCTCATCAGTGAGATGTGAAGTTTCTCCCAGGATGTGATACTCTGATATACAGTTGTGATGGGAAAGTGACATACAATCGTCCCACCCACCTGTTATTTCAAAAGTGATGTACAGGAAAGGTATACCATTAAACTTTGATGTACTGTGATAGTCATTTTCTGTAACGCAAGGGAATTAGTATCATAAGCAAAGCCCTTCTTTCCTGTTTTTCAAGATAAGCAATGGCTAAAGTGTACTTATTATTAAATCTATAGATATAAAGATATGAGCATAGTGAATCTACACTATACTTAAGAGGAATGTGACCATTTTAGTCTCATTTCTTGGTAGAGAATGGGAAAGTATGAGTTTATAAAGCTTTCTATACTTTCCAGTTCAACTGTTTTTCCTTCCAACTATCTTTTATAAGCATCAATCCTTTCTGCTGCTGTACCTCATCCTGCATGTTCACAGTCTGGGCTCTCCTTCTTCGCAACCTGAGTCTCTCTACTGTTATTCAGACTTTATTAATGTTCTTCCTACAGAACACCTGTTCAAGTTTTCTATGATGTAAATCATCGTGAGCTTGATCTACTCTTTCACACTCTTTTAGTTTCAATAAACCAGACTATGCTTAACCTGTACCCAGTAAAAGGATCTCTAGGTTACTGGACTTAAAAATCTATTTTAGTTTCCCTTTGAACTGTGAAAGCAATCGATTTGTTCCTACTCGACTGAAGATGAGCATTCAATGAGGAATATTTTTAGCTGCTGTCTAAGATATACATGGGTCACATCCCCATGGGCTCTATCTTGTCATACTCTGATAAAAGCTGATTTTGTCCTAGTATGATCTCGACATCATCTACAGCTGCCTGAAATCCTGGTCAGGTCGATGAACAAAAATGTTAGGTCTCCACTACTAATTCACTTCAGTATGGAGCTTGCCAGGCCTTTCCTCTAAAGAGATGCAGTCATCCTCTGGCTGGATATTGTAGAAGAAACATTGTCAAGGATTACCTACTGGTAGCAGCTTTTTGTATTGCCTACAAATGCTATCACTAGCTTACACAATATTGTGATGATAATTTGACTTCACAATTTGAGTGCTATGGTGTATTAAACTAAACATATGTGTGCAATCATCACTTATATTTTAATTTTCTGCAAACTAAGGCTGGTAGGAGTATTTCTGTGACCAGTATGGTTTGATTTATTTAATAGTGCCGAAAACAGTGAAGAAAAGTGATAAAGGTGGCCCTGCCATCATGATAATATGGGCATTAGCATTCTATTTCATAATGAGACATACCTGTCAAAATAATAAAACAGGTTTCTATGAACTTCATATCGCCTGCTTTATTTGTGTGTGAGGAAGCTTATTTTGGCTGATGTTGAAAATACCTTGCTACCTGTGAACACAACTCATCTATAGAACAGTGTGAACCTGCAAAAGAAAGCGTGGAATCTGTTCTTTGAAATAAATTCCATATAGATGGAATGTGGGGGGATGTGTGCATGGTAGCACAGTCAAGATTTGTGAGTCTGCTGTCTTCTAATGGGGCATAGTGGTAGGGGCTGGTTTGAGAGGTCCCTCTTTCTTTACACATGAGATTTGGTCTTTTGTATTTATGGCAGGAAACAGGCTGTTAACAATCTTCACAACAGACAGTCTAATTGTCCTCCATTCACTCATATTTGTAATCCAAATATGTCACTCCTGGGATGCTGCTATACTGGATCATTTCTATAGGGAAACGCTATCAGCTGTTAAGGAAAACCTCACATGTATGTTTTGAGGAAGGAAAACAATTACTTTTCAGAAGAAGAAGCTGTTTTTCAACACACACACTCACACACAGAGCAAACCAAAAAAGAAAACCTCTACCCTATAAGAGGCTTATTAATATTCTCAGTATATAAAGAAATATGCGTTCCTAAGTTACTCATGCCATGCATACCAGTCATAAATATTCATTTTAGGTGAAGTCATTATTTAGTGTCTACTGACCTTTCTTTGGCATTTGCTTTATTCTAACAGATACATCTTAATAATGATATTCTTTTGTGTTCCTGTCTTTCTGTTTTATTTTTGGTTCTTTGCAGTGGTTTAGAAGGGGTGTGAGGGGCTCTGAAAAAATAATTTAAAACATAGCCAGTTGCAGTCCAGCATTCTCATGATCTTCTGAAAGTAATAACCTACAAGACATAATTGACATTCAGAAACTAAAATCTGATCTACCTCGAGCAATGAAATTATACTACTCTGAAAAGCCTACCGCAATAAATCTACCTAAAAGTTTTCAGAATGCAGCCATTAAAGTGGCCAAGAAAATAATAATGTACTAACATTTGTGTTTTATGCTAGTTCCTCACAACCTCAAGCTACATTAGTAGTAAAATTTGTCCTAAGGTTATGTTCCTAAATGAGCTGACATGCTGGGTAAAATTAGTGGATGCAGAACAATTAAATTTTGGAAGTTGCAAATGCAAAACCTCAGTGCTTATCATTGGTCACTGACATTGCTTCACTTGATTAGATGGTGGAGCCAATCTTTGTTTTAAAAGTTTTCATTTCTCTTCCGGCCCTCACTCTACTCCTTTTTCTGATTATTCTTCCCTGAATATTCTCCCTTTTTCTCTTCTTTTATTTTCTTTTATGAACTAGTTGTTTTTCATTTCCCAATCAGCATGCTTCCTAGGAAGTTCTCTTCCATTCCCAGTTGTCAAATGTACCACACTCACTGTGTGTGCTTTGTTCTAAATTTGCTTTAGTGTTGTGCCTTAACACATACTAGTCTCTCTGCCTGAAACAAACTCTTACAGTCTGTGCTCTCACCCTCTTTCCTCTAAGCAGCTTCTCAGTGGTCATTCTGCTGAAGTGCTATTCACTCTGGTTTTTGTAAATCATAGTTACACAGGTCACCATAGCCTGTTATAACTGTTGCTGTGTGTACCATCATGATGGATTTAAATTAAGAATTTTATGACATGAAATATATGTTGATATATCATCCTATTTATATACATATTTGGATCTTTGGTTATACCTACTTTGCTAATATCCAATATATATATGTTGCATGGATTAAGTTAGCACAATATGTAAAAGACTCAGAAACAGATACGGTGTTCAGGCTTCAAGCTGAAGATCAAAGAAGCAAAGAAGCCAAGGTAGTAGATGTTACTTCTACCAAGCTGAAATGGTAGTCCTGTGTATAGGAATCCTCAGAGGCAAAAGGCTCTCAGAGACTGACTCCTCCTCCTTATATTCCATTCTCTGACCAGCCATATCACTTCTCTCTCCATTACCCTAGTACCAGAATTAAATACCCGAGATTCCAGGTACTGAAATCATCTATGTGTGAGCTGTTTCTTTTAGGACTGGTCCAATTTAGTGTAGTCAGTGTGGCTTTGAACTGACACAGATCCCTCTACCTCTTAATCCTGAGTCCTGAGATTAAAGGTATGTCCACCACTGATTGATCTCTATAGTTTAAGGCTGACTTTGCTTTCAGGATCCTCAGACAGGCTTTAACAAATCATAAATAATATATCCTCACATGTTAGTCTTGGGAGTTTTGCTGGTATACAGATAAATAGCTACTTACAGAACTGTTTTAAAGTACACAGTGTAAACTTGATCTAATAACATTGTAATCCTCTTGTAGCCATTTTGAATTCCCTTGCTCTTTTTCACACTTGTCCATCCAGTCCCCAAACTGAGATTAAAATATAATAAAAATGAGGGATGATGCTTATACTTATCTATGAGTATAGGGACAAAAGTTAGAGTGTAGTTAGGAATTATGTTGGTTTAGTAAATGGCACCTGGAGGTTCTCCTCCAAGATCCACGACTTCACTAACCTCAAGTATTTGGAAGTTTCCAATACCAGAAATGGCAACTCCTACATATAGGGCTCAGGGATCACAGAGAAGCTGAGGTGAAAAGAATGCAAGAGTGACAGGAACAGGAAGCTTGCTGTGACATTTTGTCTCTTAGAAATGTCAGAGGAACTGCACCTGTGAAGTCTAAAAAACAGAGCAGCCTAAACAAAGCCTGAACATGGATGGCACCATTAGACATGCCAGCACAGAAGGGGGATGGCTTATGGAGATTCAACCCTAGACAAAGAACTTAGGCAACTAAAGAATGTTGAGAGCAAGAGAAATAGTCTTCCTAAGGAACAGTCCCCAAATTGACTATCTATTACCAAGGGGCAGCTCTGAAACCATACATATCCGAGTAACATTATACAGACTGGACAGGTTTTATTTATATATGTAGGAAACATATAACAACCTACTCAACTATACACATGATATACATATAATAAGTGATAAATAAATTATAAAATTATATATGCAACAAAACAGCAACAAGAGAAAACCAAATATACGTAGATTAGTTTATTTTTAGTCATAATTTAACAAAATGAGATTTTTAAAAAGTTTATCACGAGTTTCATATTCATTTTTCCTCATTTTATATATTTGTAGTATATGCATGTATTTACAAGACAAATAAAATTTTAGTTTTATAACTAATTACCTGTACATTTCAGTGCTAGAGACTTTTACTATTTTTTTTAAAGAAACCTATAAAACAAATCAAACCTGACCAAGGCAGAGTTGTGTCAAGTTTCTTACCAACCATCAGGTAAGTTACTCTTTAACTGTCTTGGACTCTAACTACAGTGTGAATGGCAGGGCGCTCTTCCTGTTCCCCATGCCTATTTATGTTCCTCAAGGGCAACCACCTGCTCAGTCTTCATGAGCGAGCCATTTGAGAGGAGTATCACATACCTTCTTTGTCCTTTTGTGTACTTAAGTGGGAGATCAGGTTGTCATTGGTCTGTGTGCAGTATACCTCCCTGGTCTGGATGCCACCTCCGCAGAGGGCTGTCTGATTGGCACGCCTCTTGTCCTGTTGACTGAGCAAAGGGTCCACGTGGCACTCTGTCCATTCTGTAGTTCTCCAGCCATACCTAGATGAAGAGAATGTGAGGGTGGCAGCATTGCTTATTCAGGAAAAATATTTCTCCACTCTTTTCATATTTCCTCTGGTTCCATTACAGACTCCCAGATTCTATTTCAACAGCTTCCTTGTCCTCAAGTTGGCACCCTTTAGAGGGGTTGAATGTAGAGTGTTCCTGTTTTAATTGCAACTGCTGGAAGTTACTTATCAATATTTTATGAAATAAGAACATAATGCTGAAAACATGAAATTTTATGTGCAATTAAACTGAACTCGGGCTTGCCCTCTCTTAATGCTTATAAACAAAGGCAGGCTGAATCTGAGGATGCCAAACATTCTAAGTAATGATGAACCCAAACACTTGTTTTGCTTTTAATAAAATGCATGAAAATTGCTTATTCATATTGGAGCAAAATTATAATTGCATGCTAGATTTAAAAATATAACAGAGCAACTCAGAGCTTTCTTGTTACTGTCAAGAATCAGAAGTGTTTCATCTGCATGCTCTGTAAAGCCCAGCAATCCTGATGAATGCCAATGAATGATGGGAAAAGCTGACTATGTTGTTAGTAAAGCACAGAAAAGATGATCCCTGATTCTCTGAGTTCTAATCACAATTATGATTTGAAAGCAATGTTGGAGTTGTCGGCCTGACTCTTCCCTAGAAGGAGACAGACAGGGAAGCATTTCCTCATGTCACCAACAATAGAAAGTGATAGCATTTCTACACCTCTACAAAAGCAGATGTGTTAAAAGCCCAGAGGAAATGACTCAAGTAGCACTTTGTCAGTCTAACCGTGATGCTTCCCCATGCATCAGAGTAATAGCTAACAGAGATATAAATGGATGTGCTCATCTCAATTAGACAAAATGGTTAAAGGTGCCCTTAGATGTATGCTCTGGGTGCTTGAATCTGTCAATGGTGAGTAATTTGCCAGTGAAATTGAGTTTTCTTCCCATTTTCATTTTTATAAGTGGGGATTTGGAGATGCACAGTTGTGGGGTTGGGCCATCAAGGAACAGTACTCAACCTTGTTTATGAAGGAACAACATTTCCAGATACATGGATAACTGAGATTTGGTTGTATTAATTGGTTAAAGGAAAGTAAAACGAAGCATTTAATTTTCTATGTGAGTCAGAATAACATAGTAAAAAAACTAGAATGGCATTCCAGTTTAGGTCATACTAAGGAGTCCCGCGATAAAAACAGAATTTCAATAATATAAGTAGTTGATATAGTCCAAGAAAAGTGTTACCCTAAAAAGTAAAGATAATCAATGATATCTGCTTTATGTGGTATTCGAAGATTTAAGAGGATAAAAAATGAGGCACCATGGTTAGACAAAAGCAGAAGAAACTTCTGTAGAGAAAACATCAGGAAGTCTGGGCAGTATCCCTGGGCTCTGTAATAGAGAAGAACCACTATAGTCAGTGAGACCTGGAGAACATAAGATGGGAACTAGGTTTTTCAGTCCCTTCCTGCATGGGAAGATTTTAGTTGATTGCAAAGCACTGTAGAAGACTTCATGTAAACCATTGCTATCTGTGGTGGTATCGTGTCGATATACAAATAGCACTAATTTGCCTCTCGGTGGTTTATGAATGCAAACTTCTTGTAATGTCTTTTCCCCCCTCAGTATATGTATTCATTTAAATTAGAAACATGAATGCCTCACATGTCAATCCCAGCTCCCTCTCCCACCCCCTCCTCCCTTGTCCCTCCACCAGAACCCTCGCTCCACCCCCCCCCGGGTCCCCATATGGAGAAATGGCTCAGTGGGTAACGTCTCTTTTAAGGAAAATATTGTTGGATTGGCAAATATTTAAGAACTAGTTTTATTTCATCTAAGGTCAATGAACGCTTACTGGGTTCTTTAATGTGAACTACACCCTATAATATATGCTTGTGATGAAATAAACAAACAAACAATAACAAAAGAACCCAACTCCCAACACTTACAAAACCTCTTAATTTTGGTGTAGTTGTTTTTACTCTATTTAATTGAAATTGTTATATACATTAATAAATTTTAGTAGGTTACAGGAATCTGTGATTCGAATGCTTGGATGCTGACAAATGGTAGACCAAAGACAAAATTAACATGTCTCTTGTTTTTTGTCAATAAAGTATTATTGGAACATGGACAGACTCATTTACATACCAACAATATCTCTAGTGAAGGTGCTGACTCATTTCAGCAAAGAAATATGTAACCTATCCAATCTAATGTCCTCATTGTGTGCCATTTACTAAAATGATTCATCAACCAATATTACAGAATACACTAAAAGAATTGCTGGTAAAATCTAGTCTTTATGGAAATTTAGAAGTGTAGTGGTTAAATACATTTTCATTCTGTATAAGAAGCACATTCAGAAGAGATATTCTAGTTTTCTTCTTAAAACATTAAAAAATTCACCTTTTCTATATTGTTATGTCTGAAAAAGTATTTTAAGTCAGAATACACATATAACAAGTTTCAAATATTTGTGACATCAGAGAGCTGAGGACATGACACTCTCACTTTTACTCACGTAGCACAGAGGACAGCGCCATCTCCCTGAGACAAGCAGGGTTCTTTCTCCTCAAGTTCTGGACATTCCTTTTCACTTCCAATTGGGAGCTGCTTGATAGTCCTTGTCCTTACACGAGTGCCAGTGGGGGATGTGACATCATGGCACGTTTTTGAACATGGGCTCCATTCCAGCCACTCGGACACTTGGCACTCTTTGGGGATCACACAGGACTGGAAGGTCATGGGTAGCTTCTCTTGTTGGCAAAAGCTGTAACAAAGCATTGGTATTTTTACCTCAGACTCACAGGTGGTTGGAAACTTTGTCTTCAGCACCTTAGAATAATGTCAGCGTGGACATTTGACTTTCTGAGTGGACAAAAAGTTGACAGTTTCACTGAAAATACGTTAACATTTACAAGGTGCAGTGGAAAAATAAACCAGCATTCATATTTGCCTCACCTCCTTTTGGGGGTGGGGGTGGAGTTGCTAATCTGCTCACAGGAAGTAGAAAATAAAGAAGAATCAGAGAAATCCACCAAAGCTGAGTTTATCCCATTGATCTTATTCATTCTAGGTTTATTTCAATTTAGAAAAGGAGAAACCTAAAACTCTCACTGTTTAGCATCAATATTTTTGGAGTAGAAAGCATAATTTAATATGTGTCTTAGAATAATTTTGTCAGTATTGATTTACAGTTTTAATATATAGTTATCCATATATGTCAACCTTTCTAATTTATAGATTTTTAAAATTTATTTTGTATGTGTCTGTGTATAAGTTTGTGAATCAATGGTATGTGCAGATCCCAGGAGAGAGTGGTTTATTCTTCGGAGCTGGAGACAGACAGTTGTGAGTTTCTTGATGTGGGTGCTGAGAACTGAACATGGGCCCTCTGGAGAAGCAGCAAACGTTTATAATTATGGAGTCATGTCTCCAGTCTCTCTAGCTAATATGAAATACTTGTAACTATCCTGATTAACTGCTCAAAACTATTTTCAAAAATATTTATCTATTTCCTACATATAATAGACATAAACTCTAATGATACCTGTAATGATTATTTTACCAATAAAGTGTATCAAAATTATTGTCTTTTTAAATTCTCTTTGAATCTGAGGCATATTGAATTCAAAATTGTAATATCAACAAATAAAGCAAAAGATGGTATTATGGATGTCAGTAGGTGAGGGTCCAAATAGCCTGAGATTTTCTGGAACTGTCCTCTTAGTTGGACTCTTGTCCAGACTCAATAACCAATACTGTACAGTCACAGAGGCAACCTGTTGTGATCATAGCTATCCAGCCTGATGGAGGAGTGACTGATTATTTCATCTCATTCAGGTTCTATACTCATTTGTTCTAATTACCCACAGAGGGAGGCAGGTCCATTTTACTCTAACAACCTACATCATGTCTTAATCCTACCAGTATACACATTTTTAAAAACTCTATTCCCACAATAAAATTAGAGCTGAAAACTTCAAACCAATTTGTTGAACTTGAAAAGCCTGAGCAGAAAATCATCTGAGAATGGTTAAAAGGAGGCCTGTAAGTTAGTTCTGTTTGCCTATACCAGAGCAACATTAACGGTCTCCTTAGGTATAACATTGTGAATTTTCTTTGTGATGTGCAACTTTTCATCCTCAGTTTGGGAGTCACTTCAGGGAATCAGGGAAAAATAAATAACCAAATAATGTTCCCTATAACCCCAATTTTACAAAATGTACATAATTCATTCCCTCTTAGATTTATTACTTTCCTTGATACTATTTTCTTCTACATTGGTATGCATTGCCCTCCAGCTAATTCTTGAGAAGTTCATAGACGTAAAAGAGAAGTAATCTATTTTATTCTTTTTGTAGATAATTTGACTGTTTACTGTAGATAGTTTACTGTCTATTAGTACAGTTATGTTGATTATCCGATGCCAACTGACATGCCAACTATATTACTATGTTACATTTCTTTGGGATAACATGAGCCCTTTAGGTAAATTCATCTGATTTTCAGAACTATGAACACCTAGCTGACAGACACAGTGCTAGCCCTCAGTGAGTGTGGTAACACTCAGAGCAGAAAAACTCATGAAAATTGTGGAGGCTAAGACTATGAGATTCTTTCAAGAGACACTGACTCAAGTGTTCCATTAGCTTTTGAGTTATCTTCTTTTTTTTTTTTACATTTGAAAATGTTCATTTTTTTATTAATATTTTTTTATTTTCCAATTTAAATTTAGATAAGAAACAAGGTTGCTTCACAAGTCAGTACGAGGTCCCTCTCCCTTTCCCTCCCCTCCTCCCGTGCCCTCCCCCCCATCCCCCCCCCGTTATCCCCTCATTCCCCCAGGGAGGGTGAGGCCCTCCATGGGGGTGTCCATAGTCTGTCATTTCATATAGGGCAGGGCCTAGACCCTTCCCCAAGAGTTCAGGGTGAGAGTGCACCTCACATTGTTCTATGGGAGTCCAGAGACCGTGTGTATACTTAGGATGGGTACTGATCTGCTGTCCAAGGCTCAATAGATTACCTAGGCCTCCTCACTGACACCCAGATTCGGGGGTCTTGATCAGTCCCATGCTGGATTCCCAGGCTGATGCCTGGGATTCAAGAGTTAACCTTTGTCTGATCAGCTGTTTCTGGGGGTTGGGGAGCTTGCCTAAGAGTTTGCCAGTTCTAAATTGTGGTATGTATTTGAGCTTAGATTTTTCCAAAACAAGAGCTCATTTCTTTCGTGCTCCCATGCTCAGAAACTTCGCATAGCTTTACATGGCTCTAAACCATAAGGATTTTGCTTTAGCTGAGGAGGAAGCCAGAGTTAAACTGTGAAACAACTGGCACCAAGGCTTCCAAAACCTGCACTGTGCCAATGATAAGCTTCACAAGAGTTTTCTTTGTCATGCAGTAAGGACTTAGCAGTAGTTATTAAACTCCCAAACAAATACATTTTTCCAAAGCCATGGTCACACTGATGATCCTAGTTAAACTCAATGGATCCCAAAGTATGAAACAACACACACACACACACACACACACACACACACACACACAAAGAAAAAAGAATAAAAGAGACATGAATGTTTAAAAAGGATGTATAGGGATGAGAGGTTGGAGGAGGGGTGGCTAGTAAGAATGGGAGGGAGAATAGATAATATGGGTTATACTAATCATAATACCTGAGTGACATTTATACACATGTGATTTGTCAAAGAACCAGTTCAGTTAAAGATCTATCACAAGCTAAAAACAGTTTTCTAATAGATGTTAATTTTCAGTGTAAGTCTCAAATGAAGAATGTTAAAAAAAAAACACCAACACAAGGGTGATATCTAATTGCGATTGCATACTTCTATGTGGGGCACATAAACCTATATTTATATGCGTGTGTTTATGTGTGATTTTCTAGTATGCCTCAAGTTTCTAAAAATACAGATGAAGAAACTGGTATCCTGGGATTTAGAAATACAAAGACAAGATGATAGCAATCAAGTTAGAATCATAAATGCATGATGGAAGGCACAGAAGTTTGCTTCAAGTAGTAGGTGACTGTGGTGAATGTTTACTGTATATTAGAAGTTTTCAGACTGTGATAGTTAATTGATGATGATTAACTGAAATAAAGTTAATTTTTGATGAAATAACATATTGGATCAGAGAAAACAGATTGTTTTCTTGGCCTAGATAAACAGAGTTGGTGATAAAGTAGTAAAAATAAGAAAAATACACTGCAAGCTTTGCTTACATAGCCAGAAATGATGCAGAAGGGGGAGTCTAAATTGGAGGTCTCCTTTGGGTCCCTCCCCTGGGAGATCTGGCAATCCTGCAGAAGAAGAGGAGGAAAGATTGATTGTAGGAGTCAGAGGGGGTGGAGGACACCAGGAAAATATGGCCCACTAAATCAACCAAGCTGCGCTAACATGAGTTCTCAGAGATAAAAAACAGGCATAGAGCCTACAATGTCTGTACCCTGTCTCCCACATATATATACATGGCTATGAGTTTCGTGTTTTTGTGGAACTCCTAGCAGTGGGAGTTGGTGTGTCTGTGACTTTTTTGCCTATTATTGGAACTCTTTTCCTCCTATTGGGTTGCCTTGTCCAGCCTGAATATGAGGGCTTTTTCTGTGTCTCATTGCATCCTGTTTGATTTGTGTTTGGTTGTTGTTTCTTAGAAGCCTATTCTTTCATGAAGAGGAAATGGAGAGGGAGTGGATCTGAGAGAAAGGGGATGTGGGAGGGAACTTGGAAGGAGTATAGGGAGGGGAAACTGTTGTTGGCATGTTTTGTAACAGAGAAGAATCTATTAAAACAAAAAGCTTTGCTTACAATTCAGGCACTCAAGCAGATCCAGTGTAAGACTTCTGGCCTTTTGAGAGTTCTCCACACTGATTTTCATAGTGGCTGTACTGATTTGTAATACCACAAAACAGTGGGTGAGAATCCTTCCCCCCACTCCATACTTCTCAGAATTTCCTGTCAGATTCTATACCACTCCTTATCATGTACCCAAAGAATTTTATATCCTACCCCAGAGATCCTTGCTTAACCACAACTGTTTATTGCCATTATAGTAGAGGGAAAGATAAATAATACTATGGAGCCTTGAAAAGACAGAAACACTGTTCTATGCTTGCTTTATATATATGTATATATACATATATATACATATATATGTATATATATACATATATATATACATATATATGTATATATATGTATATATATATATATATAAAACCACACACACACACAATAAAGTTACCTCACATAAAGTGATGGTGCTCCACATAAGAGCCATACAGCATTTAATAAAAACCCCAGTACCAGGCATGTGAAAACTTCCCATGAGTTTTTGATTGGAGAAATATAAAATCTTTCAAAATAATAGAGGCTACTGCTATTCCTTTCAATTTACCTCCAAACATAAAAGTAAGATTGTATTGCTGAAGATCCACATATTTTGAACATGGTAAGTTGCATGACTGATATGAAATTGATTTGGGATGACTTCTTGAGGACTGGTTCTCACAGAATTGGAGGTAATATGCAATTGCCAAGGGTAATAAGCAATTGGCAGCTTATCCATCATAAAGTTTATGAAACACAACAATGACTAGGCTTGTAAGATACCTAAAGCAGCAAAAGAGTGGTACTTTTATTTTAGGGGTAAACAAGAGTTGTCTAATTTGACTTAAGGCCTACTCATCAGGAGGGAATTCATGCTGGATACTGTAAACAGAGCCATTTACCCAGGAATAGAGAATCCACAGACTAC